CACATGTGCACACGCGTCTCCAGCTGCGCATTTTACTCATCTTCCATGTGAGACGTGAATTATTCTGGGCGGTACACGAGTACACTTATTCCTTTCCACCGACGCAAAAAAAAAATCGCAGATCGCAACACATACGTAGCTCTTGGCTTGTTTTATACGTACAGTTGCTTTATTTACTTACACGTGCATAGGCTTTGATCTCTTGGTAGTTGATACGCCTTGGGGGTGGGTACGCAATTTGTTTTTTCTGCAAGAATCTTGTATATCCGTATGAGCTGAGGCTTGATCGAGAAACGAGTCAATCTTGAGCCAGCATTGGCTCATTCAATTTTTGCTCGATAGCTCCATATCATATAAGTATATTAAATAATCTTCATATCTATTGCCGAGAATTACGATCATTCATTTTCATATATGTTCGGTATGATTTTTTTTTTCTTCACTTTACCTACTAGCAAACATGGAAATTAAGCATGAAGAAAATGTATTCTCATCACGTAGCCAATCGTGTGTTCAATATCTTGTTATTTTGGTCAAAGTTTGAGAGCAGACCCACCTTCGTCGTCTTCTACTCACGATCTCTTGTTATTAAATACTAGTCTTCACTTGAGAAAAAATAAGTCGAATTTATAGTATTTTTTTCTAATGTGGCCTATCTTACTTTAAAATTAGCCTTAAAATGATTTAAAAAATCATCTTATTTAGCTCGAAACTAGCTCGAGATCAACTCAAGATCGTTACAAGCTGAGCATGAGCCACTTTCTGCAGCTCGGCCTTGAGCTTTGCACATTTTAAGCTCGCTCGAATTTTAGTATGAGTTGAGTTGAGCCTAGGCAAACTCGTTCGAAATCGACTCGCTTGCAGCCCTGCTCCACATTCCTTTCTCCCACAGGAAAAGAAAATTGCCGATTGCAGCACATACGTATACGTACACTTTTTTTACACGTAAGTATACGTGCACTTGCTTTGCTTACACGTGGATACATTTGGTAGTTGGTACACGTTGGGGGTTGGTATGCGATTTGTTTTTTGTGGGAGGGTCTTGCATACCCGTATCGCCAAGGCCAAAATGTACAGTTGAGATCGATCAGTGCGAACATTTCTTGCTTTTAATTTCCTATGTATAGATCGTTCTTGGCCGCTACCCGATGGCAAGCGGTTGGTGATGGAGCCATGTGTACGGACGAGGCTATCGAAACCGGCCGGCACGCGTGGATTGAACGGCGAGTGCTCCGTCCCGTCCCGCTGCTCCCTCGCTTTCGGTCGCTGTCAGTCGCCGGACGCACGCGCGCCCGTCATCGTTAATGTGCATACGACCACGCCGGACACCGCGCTCGCCATCCTAGTAGAGAACAAGTCCGTCGACGTCGGCGCTATACATGTGTGCGTGAAGGTGGAGCCACCGGCCGAGTCGTCGGTGGCACTGCCGGCTGGGTAGGTGGCACGTGCCGGTGACATAGCGATAGAGGCGTGTCGGTGCGGCGTCTGAACTGAATATACACGGCGCGCGCTGTGAACTGGAGCGCCGTGCCGGATGGGACGCGCGCGCACGACGGGACCTAGCTAGACCGATGGAAAGAAATTTTATGAGATCAGGTCTCCTATGAGATCAGATCTCACGCGAGACCCATCCTGATGGATGACATATGGTATTCACAAATCACAAAGCATCTATCTTATCCCTCACTTGAAATCAGGGGGAGAGATTAGATGCTTTGGGATTTGTGAATGTCACGTGTCATCCATCAGGATGGGTCTCACCTGCTAACCATGAGACCTGATCTCATATGATTTTTTTTCAGGGCCGATGGACTAGATGAAGGCGAGAATTTAGTACTAATTTAGCATCAACGCATTACCAGCACCAATCTAGCATCAACACTCGAGGAGCACTAATGTAACAATCTAGCATGAATAAATGATCATGCAACAATTTTGCATCCACACCCGAGGCGGTTGCCATCTACACTATCAGTTAACAACAATCAATTGGATTTGAATTGATTCGATTGCAGTCAGATCGAATCCAATCCAATCCTAGTACTCACTAAGCACAAACCCTAAACTACATATACGGAATACATGTCTACATTGAATCGATAAGTTGGAGCTATTGTGTATCGCTCTAGGTTGTGACTGTTGCATGATGAATATCATCCATATAAATATCCATCGCTGATCCAATGCCTATGTTTGCTCATATTGTCTTTGCTAAGTTAGTACTATTGCTGTTGTTGTTACAATTACTACAAAACTGCTATTGTCACTGCTACCGTTACTATTGCTACTATTACTGCTACTATCAAAGTATCATACTACGGTGCTACTAAACACTTTGTTATAGAGAAATAACTTTCAAGGTGCGGTTGAATTAACAACTCAACTGTTCAGGCTCATAAATATTCTTTGACTCCCCTTATGTCGAATCAATAAATTTGGATGAAATACTACCCTCGAAGACGGTTGCGATCCCCTATACTTGTGGGTCATCAAGACTATTTTCTGGCGCCTTTGTCGGGAAGCATAGCTCTATTTATTGAGTTCATTTGGGAGTTAAATATCTGTTGTGCACTATGATTGCATCTCATAAGGATAGTAGCATTGCTTACAATAAGAGGAATAACCACATCCTGGGTGGTATCCATCCAGATATTTGGAGGAGAAAATCCAGCTCTCCTAAACAGTTCATGAGGTACTTGATTTCTTTCTCAATTACACTGATTATAGATGACATGAGTAAAGTCAAGCAACAGAAAATAATAGTCATCAAAGATAGCAGAAACTACTTAAGAAGAGCAACCATCGATTAGGGCAGCAACAACCTCCACATTATCAGAGTTGAGCTCGATCTTATTACATCTAATTGTACGTGACAGGTTAAGTTTCAAACTGAGTCCCACGTGTCTGTTGGGTTTGAGGTTCCTAA